GTGAGTGTTTATCTTCTGCCCATACTGGATCGTCAAGGATCTTTTGTAGGGCTGGGTTTATTTTTATGTATTCTTTGAGGTTGTCCTTGTCTGGGAAGACTTTTACTTTGCCATCTATCTTAATAGATAACTTGGCTGGGTAAAGTATTCTTGGGTTTCCGATGTTTTCCTTCAATTTTTGGAATATGTTACTCCATTCCCTCCTCTTCTTCATCGTTTCTTCTGATGGGTCTGAACAACGTCTTATTGGGGTACCTTTATACTTGATTGTTTGCGTTTCCCTAGCTGCTTTTATGGTCTTCTCCTTTTCCTCAAAGTTGGATAATTTGACTATTATGTGTCTTGGTGACTTCTTCTTGAGATTCAGTCTGGCTGCTGTTCTTTCAGCCTCCTGAATGGTTGCCTGATTTTCCTTTAATAAGCTGGGGAAGTTTTCCTCTAAGAATTACCTTGCTATTTTTGCTGTTGATTTCTTTGTTGTGTCTTGTTACAGTAGCCCAATTATTCTAATATTGTTTCTTTTCATCGCATCAGACATGGCTCTCAAGTTTTCTTCAGCTAACTTGATTGTCTTATTTGACTGCTTTTCCCGTTTGCTGAGGTCTGCTTGGTTATCCTCTAGGTCACTGATGGCGCTTCTTTGCCTCCTCAAGCCTATTGGCAAGATCTGTCAATTCATCACTGGATTTTGTTATTTCATCCCTTAACTCTTGTATTTCCTTTTGGTTTGGCTTTCTATTTTTGTGAAGAAAGCTGTTGGAATCTTGTTCAGACTTTCACTAAAACTGTAGATCACTTTGGGTAGCACTAATATCTTAACATTACTAAGTTCTCCAATCTATGAACATTGAATAACTTTCCCTTATTTTTCTCCAATATCTTTCAGCAATGTTTTATTCTTTTCCTTGTATATTCTTTAGATTCATTCTAGGTATTTTATACTAAGATGAAACTGTTTCCCTGATTTCTCTTTGATATTTTTTCTTAGAGTAATGACTTTGTGTTTATTAATTTTGTTTTATAAAAAGTAATGCTGCATTAGTGGAACAAAAACTAGGTGATCATTATATTTTACATAAGAAAGTTTTATGCCCCCCACCCAAAAGAAAGAAGGAAAAAGTTAGTCTAGGGGGAAAAAAAGATGAACCAAGGATTTTACATCTAGATTTTCAAGTGTAAAAGGCATATAGAAGTTTTATAAATGTGTTTTTAAAAAAGGAGGGAAAAATTGTTCCCATGAGCTTATTGAGGATTCGTCTAGTGAATAAGTGTCGGGAAAACCAACTGACTGAGATATTTGAGAAAAGTATGAGTGGTGGTAATTAATATATGCTTAGTTACATGCATATAACTCTTCAGGGTTAAAGAAAGAGAATATAATGCATAATAGTTATGATTTATTTAGGAATAATACACTAATTTAAAATTTTTAAAGAGGGTGAATAGGAATTACTATTCCCATCTGATATTTACTGATTTCAATCAATATAATCTGTGCAATAGTATAAATATTGTTATTGAGAGTACAAAAGAGATAGGCTAATTATCTTGTAGCCTAAAGAATTAAATCTCTGTGTGATGTCACAAACCAAAACTAAGCCCACTGCCATCGTGTCAACAACTACAGAGACCCTAACTAGGGTTTCTGAGACTATAAATATTCATGAGAATAAACAGCTTCATCTTTCTCCCATAGAGTCCTGGTCAGTTTGAACCACCAACCTTGCTTTTGACAACCCAAAGCCTAAATATATAAGAAGTCATAATTTGATTGAAAATATCAGTATGAACTTAGGAAGTATTTTATCTTTACATGTAGTTATTTACTATTGTTCTCCATTTAAGATTATGTCTTTGTGTGTGTGTGTATGTATGTATATGTATTTGTGTGTGGGGGGTGGGGGGTGGGTGTAGGTGTGTAACCCAACCATTAGCAACAGTATCCCTGGTACTTAGGCTGTGCTCTTGAAATCTCAATCTAAACTTAAAAAAGGTGTTTCTTTTAAAGAGCCTTTTAAAAAGAACAGCCAATCCCAAATCTTGGACCAGAGATACACAAGATGAACCTGAAACCTCTTTATTACACAGGCAGCAAGAAATCAATTAAAGAGAACTAGGGTGGTGTCCAGGTGCTCTGGTTGGGGTAATGGTTAGATTGGCTACCAACTACAAGGTCAGCAGTTCGAAACCACCAGCTGCTCTTCAAAAGAAAGAGAGACATTCTACTTCCCTAAACAGTTGTAGTCTCTGAAACCCACCAGGGTAGTTCTACCCTGTCCTACAGGGTCACTATGAGTCAGTATTGTCCAATGATAGTGACTCTAAATGAGGATGGAATCAAAGGAACTCAGAAGAAATTTTTACAAAGCTCCCACTGATCAAAGATAGAAAAATCTGAGCCTCAATAAGAGTATAACTGTAATAGATAGACTCTCACCCAGTGTGTTTACATTTTAAGTTCATAAAGATTTTTTTAAATTTTAAACCCAAATGGTTAAAGCAAAAGGATGCTAGTAAATAAGAATCATCTTGGGGAAAAATTAAACATGTATTCTGCCCTTCCCATATGAACTAAAGAGCACCAGATGAAAATATGTGCCTCTTCTAATCTATGTTCATGAACGACTGATTGAAGAATTCTGTAATAAAAAATATATATATGACAGAAGGAGAGTGATCATTTTATAACTCCAAACTGGATTAAGCATGGAGCAGTAATGAGTGATAAATGAAAAGGGGGAAGAAAAACAAAAAACCAGAGAGGAAAAAGAAACCAAATCAGACATTAGGTACCTTCTGATGAAGCATCCACTACTTATCTGTCAGTTTGTCTCACTGTGGTGAATTGATAGAATTTGAATTATGGTTCTAGTGAAGAATAATGAAAGTACCATGGACTGCCAAAGCAAACAAAACTGTTTGGAACAAGTGGAGCTAGATGCTCCTTAGAGGCTAGGATAGTGAGACTTCACGTACTTTGGACATGTTGTCAGGAGAGACCAGTCCCTGGAGAAGGTCATCATGCTTGGTAAAGTAGATTTGCAGTGAAAATGAGAAAGGCCCTTGGCAAATGGTTTGACACAGTGGCTGCAACTATGAGCTCAAACATACGAACAATTGTGATGATGGTGTAGGACCAGGCAGCGTTTCATTCTGTTGTCTAGTGAAAACGAACTCAATGGCACCTAACAATAGCAACAACAACAACATTGGGAATATAGAACACCAAGCACAGATTTGCTAAAAGAAACAAAACAAAATTCTGATCACTCCTCTGGATCTAGAAGCCAATTTGCAACAAAGAGAGGATAAGAACAGAAGAGTAGGTTCAACTTCATTATGAGTATATAACTGTCAAAACCCAGATATGAAATCTACAGTCTCAATAGACCAAGTTATTCAATAATTACTATCAAGATAATTCTGACTCTGGAAACCCCTTATGTGTCAGTATGTCTATGCTCCATGAGGTTTTCAATGGCAGATTTCTTTGAAAATAGACTGCCACATCTTTCTTCTGAGGTACATCTGGGTCTTTATGAGACAACAAAATTTTTTAATTTTCGACAACTCCATTATGTAGAGATGTGCTCATTGGCATAAAACAATAAAAATTCTAAAAAACACACACAAGGAACTGACTGCAATAAGTTGGGAGAGGGTTTATTTTCAAAGGACAAAAGATTGTGTGACGGAGACAAGGCAAACAGAGGGCTCTGAGGGTACCTAGAGAAGTCCTATTTCTTCACTGAGTGAAAGTTGTAAGGTCATTTTTAATGATTCATATGATGTATCTGCTGTGAGTTTTTCTTAACTGTTGTATTTCATAGTAGAAATGTTTTAAAATTAACATTCTTTTGTTACAAATATCCAGTCCATACCTTTGCTTGCCTCTTCCTCTTTTTTCCTTTTTTTAATAAGGGACATTAATTTAACTCAAGAGACATACACTTTATTAACTAAGTACTTTTTTTAAAACTTGGTACATTTTTAAATCACTATTTTTAATAATTAGACCAATATACTAAAAGGTCTCTCACATCCTGGACTTTCCCATCTACATACCTTTGGTGCTGCCTAACATGCTCTGTCTCCTGTATTTCCCATTAAGTGAATTTAGATCTACAAACTTTAATAAAACTATGGTACAATTTTCTTTTTTATCAAGATTTCACCTCCAAAGCCTGTGTTATACATATAATTTCCCATTCTCTCTCAGTTTTAGGGGTGCAGGATATGGGAATGCAGTCTTTATATTTTCTTAAGTGAAAATAAATGGAACATTTTTTTGAATATGTGATTTGAAGGTTACATCAGCATTGCTATTTATAAACAAATCATAATCTAGAAAATTTCAAGCCAAGAAGTTATAATCTTGTAATATACTACAACCACCATGTTAAACAACCCCTGCAAAATATGTTATCTATAAGCACTGAACTCACCTGCTGGAAGGCTTGAATTGTAGCTGAGTAAGAATGAAGAGACAGACAAAATTTCAACAAATTCTGCTGTAGAGGTGACAGAAATCGAAATGCAGCCTCCAATATTGCACGATAATAAGAATAATCACTACCTGTAGAAAAGAGTAAAATGATTATATGTATCTCCCCTTCCCTTACTGTCACTGAATTAATTCTGACAGCTCACAAAATTCCTATTCTAATGATTAAGCATTGAAAACACATCAGACTCATTTTTTTAAAGTATAAAACTAGATATTACATAAGTATATGACTGTAAAAGATTGCTTGAAGTTGAACAGTTGTAAAAGACATTTCCTTGAGTACATTTGTGTACATGGTACAGGGGAACTCTTCCTTTCTCTCTCCCTTTGTTCAGGTTACTCCCACTATCTGAACTACGCTCTTCCTACCTACATGACTAAATCCAACCTGTGATTCAGGAAGAAGTCAGTTATCCAATCACCTACTCTGCGAAGTCATCTCTGATTCCTATCCATGTCTCACTGGACTAAGCACGATCTCTTCTTAGAGCTCCCAGGATACTTTTTAATGTATCTGTTTCACCACTCTTATCAAGTACCGAAGTATTTATATACTGTATATCTTAGGATTGGTGATTATCTGGCCTGCGGGCTGTGTAAAGCTTGAGAAATAGTCAATAACTGCTAACATCACACCCCTAACCAAAAGAAAAGCTGTTCCAGCCATTACATTAGAGGTGAGCTGATTAAATGTTTGCCCAATATGGCCTGCAGATGATGTTTATAAATATCCAAATGGCCTTTGGCAGAAAGAGGTTCCCCACCCCTGCTGTCTCCTCCATTACTTCCCATCACTAGACATTGAGTACCTAAAGTCAACAGCTCCAAGCTGTTTCTTTGTATCCCCCAGGCCTAGAATGTCCTCTTCCCAAAGAACTCAATAAAACTCAGTAGTCCAAGTACTAAAGGACACTGATGACATTTTAAAACTTGGGAAAAAGCATTTAAACAATATGATTTTAAAGGGAAAAAATATATGTACTAATATAAAAAGATCCTCAGGATCTTTTTTTTATGCACAAGGTACAGTACAGTGCCTTTTTTACAGTAAGAGTGAAATATATAAGAATATATGTATATATGTTATTTTTAAAGAAACCAAAACTAGGGAAGAAATTAAGTTGCATGGTTAGAAAAAGCAGAGGAAAAAGAGAAGAAACGAAGCATAAAGGGAACGAGATTTCTCTATAGATATGACTGAGGGTCTTAAGCCACTGAATCATGTATTAACTATCTTTTTTAATTTTATTTTAAATTTCAGAAAATGTTCAATAGTTCCATTTAAGCCAGAATTGACTTGATGGCAGTGAGTTTTATCATTTACAATACACTATCATCTTCTAAGTAGAAACAGACAAGAGATCCCAAAAAGGAAGTACCTCCAACTGCTGTCAAATGTTAACAGTGTCAATCTTTGGGTAGTAGGATTAAGATTAGTATTTCAAATAAATGAGATGTTTAACACATTTCTGTGATCAACTGCCAAGAATGTAAATACTCATAACTTTCGCTGGGACCACATATCATTTAATTGAAGAAATTTAATCTTAATATCAGAGCAATATTGTATTATAAAATTCACTGATAAATTTGTTCTATGAAGACTCAACCTAAAAGTAATTTTTTTGATAATTTGAGCAGTTTAAAATACGCAGTAAGTCACAATGAGTGGAAATTAACTTGATGAAAACTTTGCTTTCCTTAAAGTATGTAATTAAAAATATTTGCTAAAACCTTTATGTAGTTAATATATATTTTTTAAAGATTTAGATCACTTTTTAAACATGTTATTTTGATTAAAAATTTTTATTAAAAACCAGTTCAGTTAAATATTAATAGTGGTCATACAATTTTAAAATGTTTCTTCTACAGGACTTAAGCTTGTCAATGTAATATTCAAGGTTTTAGTAATTACTGTATTAGCATCTTTGACTATTAATGTTTACACCCTACATAGCTTATATCATATTGGAAAATGTCTGTGAAAGCCCAACCTAAAAAATGTAGAGTGACACAGAATGTGTCATTTATTTGATACAATGGCACTCAAGGTGTGGATAAGTGGCAGGGCTAATGGAGAACATACTGGGGTGGTACTAATGGACTATCTAACTTAACTATGTAATCAGTTGTGCAATCAAACCAGTTGACCTCAAGTCAATTATGACCCATGGCAACCCCAGGTGTGTCAGAGTGGAAGAAGGTTTTTAAATGGCTGATTTTTTGGAAGTCAGTTACCAGGTCTATCTTCCAAGGCTTTTCTGGGTGGACTTGAACCACCAGCCTTTTGGATAGCAGCCAAGAGAATTAACCAAAAGAGTTAACAACTTACATCACCCAGTTAACTCTAAGTGATTTAAATGAATTTTATTTTCATAAAATATTTGTATAATACTTAATAAAAGCAGCAAATTACAATGAGAAAAGGAGGGAATCAAAGAGCTAGTTACGTACAAACTGCTTTGCAAAGTTATTTATATTGTGTTGGCTCTGCTGGCTACCATTATAAATTGAGTTGTTGATGATGCAATGTTTTGTATTAGCTATCATGCCACACATACTATGAAGGAGACAATTTTTGCTGTTAATATTTTCCCAGACACCAATATCAAAAAAGCATTTGCTTCAATTTTACCGTGATCCTCTGATGATCCAATGTTTTGACTGGCTTCTACAAAATTCCAAAATTTCTCTTGACTGGTTTCTGCTAAAAACTCACTGAGAGAAAAGGAAAAATATCATAAATTAAACAACTTTATAAAATATGCTATTATACACTTTATTACTTAAGAGAGTAAAATCAGGTTTGAAGCTTCTAAATGTCCATAGTATAGCTTTTAATGTATGCTATGGATACTATATATAAACATGTAATATACTAATGCATGTGCCTATGTATATATACATAAAGGGGCTTCCAAAAGTTCACAAAAAAATAGAATTAAAAGTTCAGTGGGATTTTTCTCACAAACTTTTTGAAACCCCCTTGTATATTTGTATGTGTCTGTGTATTGGTTTGTAAGCAAGTCACTTAAGAGCTTTTTCTTAAGGAACCTGGAATAATAACAATGGATCAAAAGTTAAGACCCAACATAAAGGAAACTTACAAAACCCCAGTAGTGAAAATGCAGTCTGGCAGTAGATGCAGAATTAGAAAATAATTCTACTAGCAGTTTTGTTCACTCAATGTCTGAAAGACTTTGGAAAGGACAAATGTATTTTATCTCAAGTTCTCCCATAAGAAACGCCTTGAAAATTTTCTAGGCAACATGTTTTACATTGATAAATACAAAGGGCTACAAAAATGTTATGCGGAAAAAAAAGATTTAAAAGATAATGAAATTATTCCATGAACTTTTTGAAGGCCCCTCATACAAGATTCTAAGATGATTAAATCCTAGTTTAAAGTTAGCACTAATCTAAATAAATCAGGTTTTAGAATTTAATGCCATCTTCATTTTGTCCCTGGATTTTATATTACAGAGCTAAAATAATAGCCATACTAAATTTCCTTTCATTCAAGAGTCTAAAATCCCTAACAGAATATGCACAACCTAATAGAATGAATAATGTAAATTGCTATCTTTTCCTCTAGGACATAATAATAATAATGTAGTATTAATCTTTCACTCTCTTAAAGCAAACTACAGATCTGGATCTCAGCTTACCTAGCCAAAGGAAGACCTTCCCATTACTTGTCAACACTGGAGTGTACAACTTTCACTCTACTCCACAGCTAGACACAGAAATATGGGAAAAATAAGAAACATTTCCTGGTAATGCATAGCTTCTCTAAAAATAAGGTTTCTGAAAATACCATTATCATAACATACTAAATTACTTAATGTATCCCTGAGCATGACATTTTCTAGCTTTCTAATAAATGATAAAGGTACCATAAATCCACGACTGCTGACTTGATTCCAACTCATAGAAACCAATATAACAGAATAGAACTGCTCCATAAGATTTTCAAGATGGTAAAATTTTATGAGAGCATTCAGCCTCATCTTTCTCTAACAGAGCAACTGGTGAGTTTGAACCATGGAACTTGTAGGTAACTATCCAGTGCTTAACATACCATGGCTGCAGGGCTCCTACATACTGCATACCAATCTTTTCATAGCTTTTAGTCTAAGAAAACAGATCCCAAGGCTGTATAATATGTAAGTAAATAAATTCATGGATTAAAGATGCATTCACAAGATATGCTAGTAGAAGGGGGAAGAAATCATACCATTAATTGTAGTGGTAAGAGAAACAATGGGCACTGGAGCAACACCCTGCAAATACCACATACAAATAAATATGCTTTTCATATAAGTACAGGAAAAGTGCAACTTACATCTTTTTTTCATCTCACTGTCAGCCATAAAGAATCTAAGCTTAGAACAGACTAAAGTGTTGATAACTGTTAAAACTAAATGATGGACTGAGACCAGAAGAATAAGGCGGTGCCCAGTTACCACGTGTAACTACTCTAATCCGGGCAACATCAGAACCATAGGAGGAAAACATGGACCAGAACTTCAAATTCAAAACAAAGCAGAGCTACTGATCTAATTGAAACTATTTGCTTTATGAACACTTCAAACTCTGAATCAAAGCTAAGCCAAGTCCACCTTGTAGCCAAATAACAAATTGGCTCAAAAAATAGTGAACATAATTTATGAGTACTGTGCTCATTTTAAAAAAATCAGCTTTGTGAGATCAAACTGTGAACAAATACACTGAAACATAAGATATGAATGCAAAGGTACCAGAGAAAATTGATGGAAATGAAACAACCAGAATTAAAACCATGAGAACGCTCATGCACTATGAAAACTATAGCCAATGTCACTGAACACCTTGTGCAGAAACTGTTGATTGGGAACCTAAACTGCTATGTAAACCTCAACTTGACTAGGGGCACAGAGTTT